CTGAATCTAGCGCCGATGTCCACCGACATCAGCTGGAGGGGGAGACCTAATGCGCATGCGTGGCAATGGCCGCGCCCGTACATTAGACCGGACGCTGGAGGTCCTCATGCAAAGCGTGATGCCCAGCGTCAGATAATGGACCAAAAGTCAGTTTGGATTCCGGATGCCCTCTAGTGGCTGTCTGTTAGACAGCCACAGAGGGCAGACTTAGAGCTGCAATGTAAACATTGTAGTTTCTCTGGAACTGTAATGTTTTACATTGCAGCACTAAGTGCAAAAGGGTCACAGCACCCAGACCACCTTATTGAGCTGAATTGGTCTGGAAGCCTACAGTGTCCCTTTAAGTAAACACACTGCACGGTTAGATATTATTGTGGAGGTGACAGAGGCTGCATAAACAGAAACATAAAACCTCCTAAATGGCAGATAATTGAACATGGAGACTACAGGGAAATTATGTACACACCATAACTGCTTCACTAAGCTAAAGTTGTTTTAGTGCTTAGAGTATCTCTTTACTAAATAGTAAGAATCCAACGTTTTGTTTTCTCCCACTTATATGTGTAGGAAACAAACAAAAAACACATAAAAAAAATAAAAAAATAAAATAAAAAATCACACATTACCCCAAAGTGTCCCTTAGACAAAAACAGGCTTACCTAATACTTTTGAAAGGAAGCCATCAAAAAAGCAACAACTCTGTGTTTCTGAATCATGCAGACTGAGGTTTCCATAATGTGATTTGCACAAGGAGACAGACCTGTTTATAAACATCACATATTTTGAAGTGTTCATTACCTGTACAAACGTCAAAGCAGCCTTCTGTAAGAGACACTCTGCATAACAGATCTCAGCATGCATCTCCTCTGCAGGTCAAAAGAAGAGCAGAACCAGGTCAGGGATAATAAAAAAGCATATGAAAAGGATATATCACACAGAAAAGGCATTTGCTGCAATACATTGCTAATGGAAGTATATCCAGTAAGGTGAGTTGATGGTTAAGGATCAAGCAAAGATTTGCAGAATTTAAATGGAGGATTAGAGTTATTTGTGCCAGAATTTGAGAAAGTAACAGGCAAATCAAACCAGCTCTCACTTTCATGCCATGGGGTTTAAAGCTGTCAACAGTGGTCTTCTTCAAGGTACCAATTAAAATTACAATGTTAGGAATTAAGCATATTTTATTGAAGCTGTGAATTAGCATGAGCTGGTTTTCCGTCTGTTTGATTTTTAAATACATACTGCAGGACGAAGCCCACCGGAATGTTCGCATGACTTGTGGCCTCAAGTCTTTTTAATAATCAAAAATAAAAGTGGAAAACAACTTGCAGCACACCATTACTGAGAAACCGCTGACTTATATTATTTAGGGAACACTTGGATGTCTGCTAAAATGGATTGCCAGCCTCCCCCCACCACATTTAATCCCTGCACATTAAACATTGCCATTCTGAAGGGTTTATTGTTGGGTTTGAACGTCTCTAGAGGTGCTTGCAACAAAATAGCAGAGTAAAACTCAAAGACCATCTGATTGGCGCTGCACAGCATTTTGCTGCACATATACATACTTCCAAATTCTTTCCTGTGGAAGGCTGTTGGGTTGGCAGGGATCATTGATCTCGATAATCTCAGCCAAGGAGGCAGGGCAGCAGTGCAGAGAGCAGAGCTGCTAAAATGTCAACAGAAGAAGGATTGACAACCACCTCCTGTTTTATCCCTGCTGGTGTAAACATTGCCATTCTGAAGATGATATCAACCAAGGAGGCAGAAAGGCAGCGAGGAGGGAGAAAAGGTAAGTACACTACCTTTTTTAGTCCCTACATGTTGGGGCAGGAGACCTAAACAGCTACCAGGGTACTACAGTGTTGGGAATACACATTTGTATTCATAAAGTTGAAGTGTTCATTTGAGGGCCAGGTTTTGTCTGAGATATAGTACATTGGTGACCAAGAACACTCTGCTGCTTTTACCATGTGTTCATTCTACTATACCTTCACCCTATTAAAGTGCACCCATACATATTGTATATAATTTTTGAAGAAGAGGTTGGGTTTTTGATACCCTATATGAATACATAACACAACATTAAGTACAATAAAAATGTGTAAAAAATAAAATAAAAAATTAAATGATTAATGTCCTGCATCTGATTGAGAACAGAGTTTGACTCTGTTCTCTCATGGAAATGCCTCTAGTGGCTGTCAGGAAAACAGCCACTAGAGGTGTGCTTAACCCTGCAATGAAAATGGTTTTGTAGAAACTGCAATGTGCAATGTTAAACATTGCCATGTTAAAACTGAAGGGCCACTGGGTGCTTTAGTGAACATTTAATAATTTCAGCATAAGTACAACTAAATAAAAATAACTCAAAATAGAATCACTAATTAGCCTTGTTTGTTAGAAGGCCTCATATGTCTAAGATTGCGGTTCATTTTTGGAAGTTTTTGTTGAAATTTAGCAAGGAGCAAATTATGACAAAAAAAAAAAAAAAAGCAAAATTATAAATATAATGGTAGTCACAAAATCCAAAACAACTACACAAAGATATATATTTGTAGAAATGACATCTTCCAGGGTACTTAACCAATAGCATTTTAACACATTTAATCATTAATCTTTGTCACATCTGCTGTGTATATTTAAAATTGTATTGAATAATTGTACTGTATAATGTGTATTTTGTTTGAATTTGAATTTCAATGGGAATTTCACAGATCAGCTGCGACCCACTTCTATAAAGATTGCCTATTTTAATACCGCTACTATTCTCGAGTACAATGATACCCCAATGTATACCTTTGCCTGCAGTTTGAGGGACTTGCAGGATCAAATATCAGACATGACCTTATTTTGACATGCCTCTTTGCTTACTTCCTAGGAATGCTATTTAGTAAAGTGGCATGAACAATGTCATCATACTGAAAAGCTGTAAATGCTGGTACTGTGACGGTAGTAACCATCACTGAGAGCAGAAGGACACTTTACAAAGGTTCCTAAATTATTATTATGTCATAGTCACACTGTGCCTATTATAGGTACAGGGTGTGTATGTGTATGTTTATTGTTAGTTGTTTTGTGTGCTCTCCAGTCCTGCTGATGCTTGTTAATAACTAGGTGGATTTGGCTATGGAGCCTGTATAGCGCCCTCTGTTGGTAGCAAGATCTATATGCACTACATGAATAGCAAGGCATGTTAATTTGCATATTCAGGTAAATTTGCATATTGCCAATTCTGCAGGCAGGAGAGATATTTTGTGTTCATTATTCTCTTCCTCCCCTCCTCCCCCCACTTTTATAAATATGCCATTGTGTGATTATAAGTTGATGTATATGGTCTGTTATGATTTGGTGATTTGTATTTTATTGAAGTTGTCATAGCAATCTAAGTGCAATGAGCATATGGGCTAGTCCTGAGTAAAAAAATATGCTGTGTATGTTAGCTCCTTCTTGTACTGTGTGTCCTATGTGGATATTTAGGAATCCCAGCCACAGTGTTTTGTAACTGCTAATTGACTGCACAATCCCACAAGAACTGGGTCAAATCACACAGAGTTAGGCCTGAGAGCTAGTAAGCGAACTGGGTAGAGGTACTCTATCAAAGTAAGTAAGCTCCGTCACAGGTGCAATTTCTAAACATAACTACTCCTGATTTTACCCCTAATATCAACCATAGCCTTACACCTAATCCCACACCATATGCTAGCCGTCAGCAGAGGGCGTTCACAACTAACCAGTAAAAAGCAGTCTGGTACTGAGATTGCTGCACAATCTCATGCTGCAATGCTACAGCAGAAAGGCAGCGGGAGATTAGAGAGGTCAATGCGTGGTTGAAGTCTAGGTGCAGGAAAGAGGGTTTGGGGTTTTTAGAGCACTGGGCTGATTTTGCGCTAGATGGATTGCACCTAAACGGAAGAGGGTCTGCTGTGCTGGGGGATTGGATGGCTAGAAGGTTGGAGGAGATTTTAAACTAGTAGGGTGGGAGAGGGGGGGTTCAAAGCAATCTAGGAAATGGAGATAGGATAGAAAGGAGATAAGCTTTAGCTCAGTGTAAGGGTGGTGGAGATGGGGGGATGGAAAAGCTCAGAACAGAGGAGGGGAGGTATGTAATATTGATGAAAATTCACAAAAAGTACAAATGACTCATGACAATATTAAATGTATGCTATATAACAAAATGGGGGAACTAGAGGCAATAGTATACATTAAACAATATGATCTAATAGACATAACGGAAACATGGTGGGATGTGATCACAATATGGTAATTTTTTAAATAAACTCAAAAAAGCAAAAGCACGTGGGGTATACTAAAATGTATAATTTTAAAACAGCTAATTTCAATAAGATTAGGGCAGCTCTACAACATATCGACTGGCTTAAACTCCTTATTGAAAAAAAAACCACTGAGGATAAATGGAAACTATTCAAACAAATATTAGAAAGGCACATTTCTCAGTATGTACCATTGGGTAATAAATGTATATAAAAGAGATAAAACAATGAGAAGTAAAACAAGAGATTAAAAATAAGAAAAGGGCATTTAAATCGGACAAATCAGAGGCATCCTATATAAGATATAAGGAAGCCAATAATGCTAGCAAAAAGGCAATTAAAGTGGCTAAACTAGAAAATGAGAAATTGATAGCCAAAGAATGCAAAACCAACCCCAAAATGGTTTTCAAGTACATCAATTCTAAAAAAAACCAAAAAATTAAAGTGTAGGTACACTGGAAACAGAGATGCGTCTGTTGGTTAATGAAGACCAGGAAAAGACAGAAATTGTAAATAACTTTTTCTTCAGTATATTTTAATTAGGACCCAGCAGACAGCCCGTGCGGAGAGAGGAAGCAGAGAGCAGACAGCTCCCTTGCTGCGGCTGAGCTGGAGAGAGGCGCCCGCCCCCACTGGACCCCAGGGACAAGTCCATGCCAGCACTCCAGGTAGGAGGCTGGGTGGACATTTTTTTAAATTCAAATATAATAATTTGTTCTTGTGTGTGTCTGTGTGTGTGTGTCTGTGAGTATGTATATATATATATATATATATATATATATATATACACACACACACACACACACACACACACGCAGAGCCGGCGCTATCTGAGTGCCGGCTCTGCTCTAAGCCTCCATGGGCCGGCGGGGAGACCAAAGATCTACCTCACCGGCCCACAGCAGCATGGAGGGAGGCAGGAGAGGACCCAGGGAGCTCTAGACAGAAGCTCCGCCAGGTTCCTCTCGCGATATCTGAGCTCAGATCTCGCGAGAGTTAACTCTAGCCCCTACATACTTTGTATGTAGAGTTCACACTCCACTGGACCACCATGGCAGCAAGGATTTACTAATCTGCCAAATCCCTCTAAACATACAGCACACACACATACAGCACCTACACACATACAGCTCACACACACACAGTACACTAACCGCACCCTCACAAACACACACAGCACCTTTAAAAAAAAAACCACAACACCCTCACACACAGCACACTAACAGCACCCTCACAAACACACACACAAACAGCATCCTCACAAACAGCACCCTCACAGGACAAACATACACACACAAACACCCTCACACACAAACAGCACAGTCACAAACACACACACACCCTCACATCACACTAACAGCACCCTCACACACATCACACTAACAGCACACACAGCAGTGTGTGTGTGTGTGTATATATATATATATGTTTTGTCATGCATAAATAGGGGCATCAATTCTCGGGATAAAAATATAATTTTGCCTCTTTATAAATCGCTGGTAAGATCACACCTTGAATATGCTGTGCAATTTTGGGCACCTGTTTTAAAGAAGGATATCATGGCATATAAAAAGTGCAGAGATGAGCTACAAAAGTGATAAAAGGAATGGAGCATTTTAGTTACGAAGAAAGGTTAAAAAATTGAAATCTCTTTAGTTTAGAAAAACTGCGCCTCAGAGGGGATATGATAACATTATACAAATATATTCGGGGCCAGTACAAACCATTATCTGGAAATCTATTCATAAACAGGGCTATACATAGGACACGAGGTCACACATTTAGGCTGGAAGAAAAGAGATTTCAACTAAGGCAAAGAAAAGGGTTTTTTTTTTTTTTTTTTACAGTAAGAGTAATAAGGATATGGAATTCTCTGCCTGAAGAGGAGGTTTTATCAGAGTCCATACAGATGTTTAAACTGAAATTGGATAAATAATTGCAAAAACATAACATACAGGGGTACAATTTCTAATTAGTGGGGTAATAGCTGCTTGATCCAAGAGACATCTGACTGCTATTTTTGGGTCAAGAAGGAATTTTATTCCTAGTTTGTTGCAAAGTTGGATGCGCTACAGACTAAGTTTTTTGCCTTCTTTTGGATCAACAGCAAAAACATTTGTGAGGAAGGCTGAACGTGATGGACGCAAGTCTCTTTTCAGCTATGTAACCATGTAACTCCTGCATACTATCCCTGTCATTTACACAGTTATTGGTGCTATGCAGCAGACACAGCTCTGTGTCTATCACTGTCGGCAGAGGAACCTGCAGTAACCCCATGGGACTCCCTCTGTCTGGGAAAATCCATCAGGATTTCGAGGAAATCACAGCGCTAGATGTGATATTTCAGCCAGTAATCAAGGGATTAAAGGGGCTGTGTGAAACACTCAATTTTAGAACTTTTAAGAAAATTTGAGAGTATTTAAAGGACTTTGTGAGCTCTGCATACAACTCATCCGTCAGTTTGATAAAGGAGGGCATGTGACAATTTGTACCATCTAGATAACAGGAGCTAGAAATAATCTAGATAAGAAAGCATGTAAAATATCATGAATTGGACAATTAAACAATCATTGTGGATCTAAAATATTAATATATATCAACCCAGGTATATACCAGAAAAGTTGAGAAACACACTAATGCAAACAATTAATTATGCCTGAACTAGTGTTTATTCTTTGGAAATAGTTGGTTAGCTACCAACTTGAAAAACATTTCCCAAGGTACTGGAGCATATGAAATAAACATAGTAATGAACGTGGTTCCATCACCTCGAACTTTCCTCTCTCCTATGGTTCCTTTTCTCTTCCTTTTTCATAAACGTTTTTTCATTCCTTCATTTTTAATCTACTTATCTTTAAAACATAAACCAAGTACAGACTACTTTGTTAAGATTGGCAAAGTGTAGGAAAAATACATAAGACAAAGTAGTCCCTACTTTGTTTTCTGTTTTAGAGAGAGAGATAGATCAGAAATTTAGAAAAGAAGAACAGATTCTGAAAGAGGATTACGGTAGTTAAGGAAAAAATAGGAGAAAGGCAAGCTTGAGGTGAAAGCTACTTTAATAATTTGTTTGTCCATCTATCTAAATATCTATTCTCCTCACCTAAAGTCAGACAGATTACTTGACATTTTAGAAGAACTTTGTATTTGATGTATATTTCAAGGAATATTTCAAAAAAATCACAAGTGTTCATATAGTTAAAATATTTATTGCAAATATAAAAGGTATTTGTCTTTGTTTGTGAATCAGTCACAAACATCAAGCAATAAGCACAGACATTACCTTCTGAGAGCTGATCTCCCGACTGCTTGGAGACTAGGTTGGATAACGATTCCACCACGCTGTTTCTTTTTCTGAACCTGCAGTGCATTAGAATAGAACATTAATTCAGGTACATATTTATCCAAAACCGACAGGATGGGGAGGTCTGAAAAGATATCAAAACCATGCTACATAGAGAGACTATAGGATCTTGATGCATGTCACAATCTCATATTGGCCTTTACAATACCATTTAGTCAAAGCAGTGGAATTGAATTACAACAAACACAATCTCCAATTAAATATGTTGCCTACCCCCTATACAGTATATTTATGCAATTCAAGATACGTTTTTACTTTTACATTGCTGTCATTTTACATACACTTCTATGGTCTCTGCTGTGTGGCGGAGAAAAAAAAAAAATTTAAAAAAAATAACAACTAGATTCAAGACATGTAATGGAAAAAAAAAAGCTCATGTAAATAAATATCTAAATTCTTAGAATAAAATAATACCATAGTTTTACACTGGGGATAACACAGGAGAGCCCTTTCTGGTCAGTCAAGAGATCATTTGCTCAGAGTATGATCAGGTGCTGGTTACTGGCTGGTAGAGAATAATCTAGGCCAAAACTTACTATCATTTAGAAAAGGAGAACATCTTCCAATTCACTTTTTAAATATTATACAGTTTCCAGATGAGATTGACAAAAAATATTAGGGGTTCAGGGGCAGTGGATTGGGGAGGAACCATTTTAATCTATGCTGGCTTTTATACACTAACACCCAAAAACAACATTATGGGAGGGGTGGTAAACCTTGCATTTCCATGCATAGTCTGTATATTTATATGTTCTGTGTATTTTCCGTTCAACCAATTCCTCAGGCCAGTTCCGCCAGATGAGAAAGTATGTCAGGAGTTCTAGGCAATTGTATTGCACAGTTTTCAGCATGAAATTTCATTATGATAGTATGCTCACTACCAGCCAGCAACAGAAATTATTTATCATGTTGTTTTAATTAATTTGTGAATTTACCTTTGACATGTCTGTAATGCCTCCTTCATTGTGGCAATTCCCATCTGGATAGCCTGTGGCTCAAAGGTCATTGCTGCCTGCATAACTAAGATGGTGCTGTATCCAAGAGCATGATACATACTCTCCTTTGCCCTTCATGAAAACAAACAAACAAACGAAAAAAAGTTAAACAAATACAAACAAAACAAAGCACATGTAAACAGGCAGTACTGATTTGTTTATTTATGCTACTCTATTTTAATACTATAAACCCAAAAGTACAAAACTTTTTAACAGATTACATTATTTATTGTGTTTCCCAATTGCTTGAATGCTAAACTATTCTATTTAAAGCCACCACGGGAAAAAGTAAAATAATATTTAATTCAAAAGTATTGTTGCATTACAATAAATTAAACATACATGACAAATACAAAGCTATAATCTCATTCTGTTATATCAGCATGGTATGCACATGCCCTAGATCACCTAACTATTTTTTTTTTTTTAAATATATTTTTTTGTGCTGAAAAACAGAATATGCCTGATTCTATTATATAAGGTTGCGTAGCAGTGTTGAGTAATGTGGAAACTATTTGCCTGTGATTCCTTTGCCTCTTCCTGGTCCCTGGAGAAGTAGCAGATATGTAGCACACAAAGTAAATTCAAAGAATAGGACTATTTTATTTTCTCAAACCTAGCTTAGATTATGATTGTATTAAAGGCTGCCAAGGAACAGGTTTTCTTTAAAGTTAAATATACATTAAAATTGGATGAGGTTTTTAAAAAAATTTTTTTTTATTAAATATCCTTTTTTTCTTCTCAAAACTTACATTTAAACCATAGCCATGTCTTTGTTGCTATTACTCTTAAAACTACTTGACAAGCATTCCCATTTTACATCAGCCATAACTGAGTAACAGCACATTATACTGGTCATATACACGTCTTTAGAAATTTTGTGCATATACAAGAAAATACTGCAGAGATCAGTAGTCTTGTAGAATGTACATAGAAGACAGCAGAAGAAGTACTTGAGGATAAAACAATGATGCAACTTCTAGCAGAGGTGGCAGTCTGGTACACAAATGTCCCGTCCCCCCCCCCCCAAGACATTTGTGATAACCGTCAGAGATGGACTTATTAATGTAAGTTTTCCTTGTGGTTAAAACTTCATTAAAGTAACAATACAGTGATCACACAGTTTGCTGCTTACTGAAGTCTCCTTTTATCTCCAGGATGTTAGAGCTCAAGTTTCCACAGCATGTTGACATTAGGATATTGTCCAATAAGTCCTGCATACGTTGAATGCGCATCTGCCGCTGGTATTATTTTCTATTGTTTAACTATGTGCTTGCCTTTGTATTCCAGATTGCAGTATGGATGGGCCTTGGGTACCAAAATAGTGCATAATGAATACACAACAAGAATTGGATGCTTATGTGATTGTTCTACAAATATAATCCAAAATTAATACACCACCTAAAATAGATGGCAACATCAATGCCATGTGTTTACCACCCCGATGG